AAATTTAAAAAGAGAAACTTTTGTTTTTCTTTTTGGGCCACCCCGCCTCGGTGGGATACGGCCGGTGTGTTGAAAGAAAAGAATAATAATAATAATAATACATGTATAATAATAATGTTTTGAGTTTTCCCTGAGGTACATTTATTGCCTTCTCTGAGGATGAGGGTCCCCAGTTCAGTTCTGAAGTGGTACCTCCCTATATTTTTTATAGTAATGTACTATACAGTGGACCCTCAACCAGCGATATTAATCCGTTCCTGAGAGCTCATCGTTAATCAAAATAATCGTTAGTCAAGTTAATTTTCCCCATAAGAAATAATGGAAATCAAATTAATCCATGCAAGACACCCCAAAGTATTGAAAAAAAAAAATTTACCACATGAAATATTAATTTTAATACACACAAACTGAAGAAGACATGCACAGTTACATGACACTTACCTTTATTGAAGATCTGGTGATGGTTGATGGGATGGGAGGAGGGGAGACCGTTGATCTTGTTAGTGTTTAGAAGGGGAATCCCCTTCCATTAGCACTTGAGGCAGCAAGTCTTTTTCTGGGGTTACTTCTCTTGTTCTTTTAATGCCACTAGGACCAGCTTCAGAGTCACTGGACTTCTGTCGCACAACATATCTGTCCATAGAGGCCTGTACCTCTCGTTCCTTTATCCTAAAGTGTTTCACAACATTGTCAGTGTAATAGTCACCAGCACGGCTTGCAATAGCTGTGTGAGGGTGATTTTCATCAAAAAAGGTTTGCACTTTAAGCCACATTGCACACATTTCCTTAATCTTTGAAGTAGGCAACTTCTTCAATTTCTCTCTCCCCTCCTCCAAAGCAGTTTCCTCAGGTGTGGCCTCTTACTGTTGAAGATGATCTAGCAGCTCATCAGTGGTTTGTTCTTCATTGTCCTCCTCCACCAACTCTTCCACATCCTCCCCACTAACCTCACCAATATGAGCACTAGTTCCAGGCATTTTTTCCTGTTCACCTGTGGGTGTTAATCAACTCTTGTGGGTCGCATCCTGGGGGACAAGATTAAGGACCCCCAATGGAAATAAGTTAGACAGTCCTCGATGATGCACTGACTTAATTGAGTTATCCTGGGTGGCTAACCCTCCGGGGTTAATCGTTTCTCGGTAATTGTTTCACCTTAAGCCACACCAACAACACTCTCTCCACATCTTCGAGTAATACAGCTGATGGTGGTGCAGCAACAACAACAGCTGACTCTGGTGCAGCAGCAGCTGCACCTTTGGCAAGAACAGCTTCCTTGATTGCCGTTTTCTTACCCACAATAGTAGCGATGGTTGATTGGGGTTTATTATACAACCTGACCAGCTCAGAGACATGCACTCCACTTTCATACTTAGCAATGATATCTTTCTTCATCTCCATAGTAATTCTCACCCTTTTTGCTGTAGGGTTGGCACTAGAAGCTTTCTTGGGGCCCATGGTGACTTATTTTGCAGGTGCAATCACTAAAAAGGCTGTGATAATATGAAATGTTCCAGTTGTTGTATGTTTGAAAGCGACCGCTGTGGCTGGCTGGCTTGTAAACACTGACACCCAAGGGACAAGTGAGGCACGCTCAGGCCAAAGTGGACGCGTATGGTGCGGAACGAATAGCGCTGGTCGGGTTTTTAAGCGCTAGTTGAGGCAAAATTTTTGCGTTTAAATGTATCGCTAGTCAGATTTATCGTTAATCGATGCCATCGCTGGTTAAGGGTCCACTGTATAATAATAATTATAATAATAGATGGCTTCAAAAGGCTGTCACTTAATGGCAGTGTTTACCGCAACAATGCTGGAGAGATTATAGCCACTTCCACTTGTCACATAATGACATATTTTATTCATTCTAGAGTATATATCAGGTTTCTATATTATTTATATTGTTTATTATGTCATATTAGATGAATTGTGAGAGATAAATAAGCCATAGAGTTGATGATAGCCAAATATTCAAGGAATATTTTGTCCTGTCTCCAGACAAACTCCCATCGGCCGCCGCCACATACAGTGGTCCCTCGTTTATCATCGTTAATCCGTTCCTGGAAGTGCGACGATTATTATAATAGACGATTTTCGAATCAATTTTCCCCATAAGAAATAATGTAAATACAATTAATCCGTTCCTGACATCCAGAAGTATTAAAACAAAAAATTTTTTTACATGAAATATAGATGTAGTACATAAACAATACAATGCGACATGATGACTGAAACATTAACAGCATAACACTTATCTTTATTGGCGATTCTTCTTAGTGTATGGAAGACTGGAGGAGGAGAGAGATTGGATTAGTTACTGTTTGGAAGGGGAATCCCCTTCCATCAACACCTCAGGTACCAAGTCCTTTTCTGGGGATACATACAGTGGACCCCCGGTATTTGATATTAATCTGTTCCTGAGAGCTCATTGTATGCCAAAATTATCGAAAGGCGAATTAATTTTCCCCATAAGAAATAATGGAAATCAAATTAATCCGTGCAAGACACCCAAAAGTATGAAAAAAAAATTTTACCACTTGAAATATTAAGTTTAATGCACACAAACTGAAGAAGACATGCACAGTTTGTAGTACTCTACTAACAATAGAATACATGACACTTACCTTTAATGAAGATCTGGTGATGATTGATGGGATGGGAGGAGGAGAGAGTGTCAAACTTATTGTTTAGAAGGGGAATCCCCTTCCATTAGGATTTGAGGTAGCAAGTCCTTTTCCGGGGTTACTTCCCTTCTTCTTTTAATGCCACTAGGACCAGCTTGAGAGTCACTGGACTTCTGTCACACAACAAATCTGTCCATAGAGCTCTGTACCTCCCGTTCCTTTATGATTTGTCTAAAATGGGCCACAACATTGTCATTGTAATAGTCACCAGCACGGCTTTCAATAGCTGTGTTAGGGTGATTTTCATCCATAAAGGTTTGCAGTTCAACCCACTTTGCACACATTTCCTTAATTTTTGAAGTAGGCAAAATGGATTCCACAACTGGCATAGGCTTCTCAGGGTTAGCCCCAAATCCTTCAAAATCTTTCTTAATTTCCATACTAATTCTCACCCTTTTTACCACAGGGTTGGCACTAGAAGCTTTCTTGGGGCCCATGGTGACTTATTTTGCAGAAACAAGCACCAAAAACACTGTGATAATATGGAATGTACCGAATGTATCCTTAGATGCGAGCACACTGGCTGGCTTGTAAACACTGGCATGCACGGGGCAGTTCAGGCCACACGTGGACATGTCTCTGATGAATTGCGTGTGGCAGGTTTTTTAACGAGTGGCAAGGCAAAATTTTTGCGTTAAAATGTATCGAATACCAGATTTAACGGATACCGATGTCATCGAATACTGGGGGTCCACTGTACTTCTCTTCTCTGTTTCTTAATGCCACTAGGACCAGCTTGAGAGTCACTGGAGTCCTGTCTCGCAAAAAAAAGTGTCCAGAGAGCTCTGTTTGTGGCGTCTCTTTAAAACTTCCCTAAAATGGGCCAAGACTCTGTCACTGTACAAGTTGCCGATATGGCTTGCAACATCCTTCTCAGGGTGATGTTTCTTCATAAATCTTTCCATCCTACCCCACATTTCAAAAATCTCCTTAATTTCTGAAGAAGGCACCTTCTTCCATCTCACTTCCTCCTCCTCTACAGCAAGATTCTGAGCTCCGATCTGTTGCTGTTCCTGCTGAAGCTCTTGCAGCTCCTCAGTGGTTAGCTCTTCATTGTGGTCCTCCACCAACTCTTCCACATCTTCCAAACTCACATCCAACCCCATGGAACTCCCCAATGCCACAATAGATTTCACAACTGACATAGGCTCATCAGGGTTAGCCACAAACCCTTCAAAATCCCTCTTGTGGACACAGTCTGGCCACAATTTTCTCCAAGCAACAACAGCTTCCTTGATTTCCTTTCTCTTTGACACGATGGAAGATATGGTTGTATGGGGTTTGTTATACATCCTGGCCAGTTCGGCCACACGTATGCCACTTTCATATTGTTCAATGATGTTTTTCTTAAATTCAATTGTATTTCTCACCTTCTTTATCAAAGGCTTGGCACTAGGAGCTTTCTTTGGAGCCATGGTAGCTTATTTAGCACTTGCAAGCACTAAAATGAATGGAATATTATGAAATATTTCGTATGAACAAGTGAGGGGACTGTTGCTCACTGGTAAACAATGGCACACTGGCTGGGAAGGGAGGCTGAGGCGGCTCAGAGCCGTGAGTACGCGTCCAGGACGAAAGACAATTAGCGAGTCAACCGACCATTTGTGAGCCAATGTTTGGAAGAAAATAAAGCAACGATTTCTGAAAAGGACTACTATCGAGCCCGACGATTATCAAGGAACCACTGTATATAATAACATTTTATTCATTCAGGTTTCTATGTTACATATTTAAATTGTTTGTTGTACTAGATGATCTGTAATAGATAAAAAAGCCATAGAGTTGATATTAGGGAAATTATTGAAGTACAGTGGAGCCCCGGTTAACGATATTTTTTCACTCCATAAGTGTGTTCAGGTGCCAGTACTGACCGAATTTGTTCCCATAAGGAATATTGTGAAGTAGATTAGTCCATTTCAGACCCCCAAACATACACGTACAAACGCACTTACATAAATACACTTACATAATTGGTCGCATTCGGAGGTAATCGTTGTGCGGGGGTCCACTGTATTTTATGGTGCCTGGAATTCCACTGGAACAAATTAATTCCATTTCAATTAATTTAAATGAGGAAAATTGACTCTGCAAACGAGCAAATGCAGATGCGAGCAAGGCCACAGAGCGGACTAAACTCGTTAGTGGAGGTTTCACTGTATATTTTATTTCTTTTATGCAGTATACAGATAATGTAGTTTACATGTAAGAAAATATTGTTAGACACAAAAGAAAGCCATTAGTATGCAATGCATTTGGACAAACTTGTTCTAATACTTAAATCCTACTTAAGAATTAGACATAAATAAACATTTTTTGTTGCAGGCGGTCGGATCTGTCCGGGAAACTGGAATCAAAGTTGAGTGTGGAAACTCTGCTAGTGACTGGAGCGAAGGCTTCACATGTCCACACTGTACACACTATGCACCAGAACTGCAACAAACAGAAAGCATCTTTGCTGAAGATTGATGATGTTGGAGATGTCCTTGCTGAATGTGTAAGTTTGGACTTTCCATTGTTTTTATAAATTTCTCTCAGATCTTTCAAAATATTCATAACCCTTGATATAATAAACTAATAGAAGGGGAAGCTGGCAGCCAGTAATGATAATTGTGGTGAACAGAGAATAGAATGTTTTCCTACGAGAGGAACAGTCACAGACAATCTTGTAACATATGAACTTTATTTTTAAATTGATTGACCCAGCAAATTTTGTTGTGTATTTCTAAAGACTGTTATATAGAGGTTTATTATACCAAGGGTTTACTTATATACTGGATATAGAATGTGTGGTACATTAGTTGAAAAATTATAAGTTCCTTTTTTTCAACAGCCTGAAAAGTTTGCCCAGTCTCTGCAATTGTTCTCTAAGGGTCTTGGAGTGCTGACTTCTTTGCCTCTGAGTGGAGTGGAACGTCAACGAACCTTCAGTGGTTCATCAACTGATGATGAGGCCCGTCCCCGGCGCCAGCGAACAATGAGCATGGAAGAATATGACACCCCTAATCTTCGACGCTTCTCCTTCTCCTCTACCCCAACACCTGCAAACTAAATACTTATTTCACCACTAGACCATGCAGCAGACTCAACTAGCTCAGTTGTGTCTACACTAGTGTACAGTTGGTCATGGCGTAAATATTCATGAATTTATATTGGTTGATGTTATGATATTGCAGCTCTATGTACATAAAACATCTCATCAAGTTATCAAAATATCATCAAACATCTGAAAATACAGGCTCATGTTACACAGTTAAGATTATCTTGTTATGAGAACACAGCGAGGCCTTTTATTATCCACAGGGAGCGGTCAACCCATGTACCTGCTTGTATTCTCTCAGAGGTGCATTTCCCCATCTTTAATCTCATCTAGTTGTTTTTTCTTTGATCTTGGAAGTGCTGGGATGACCGTCAGTGTGGAGGAATAGTTCTGTTTGGGGTACCCAACAGAAGCCCATGGAGGAGCCAAGGTTTTCATACTGTTCACTTGGGTTGTAGAGTGACGACCATTGTTGATATTAAATCCAAGGAATATATTTGCTGCCAGTACCACTTCCCAGGGATCATCGTGGCTGGGATAGTGTATTGTCTCATCTATTGTAGTAGTGAGAGAAGTACGAGTTATCCCAATCAGCTTATTGCAGTCAGTTAGTTACTCAGTGTTTTGCACTTTGCTTTTGTACAGTTTAAGAACATGAGCACGTGTTAATAATGAACCTTTCAAAGCTCAATTAGGCTCTGCTGGTTCTTGTGTGTACATAAAAATATGATAGCAATATGATTATCAATGCATTTGGCACGAAGAAAGTGCAAGTGCACCTACGTCAGTTGTTTGAGGAACTGGCTTCACTGCCCATTGTTCTCTTGCTGCTAATAGGAGAACATGAAGGTGATGGCTGCATCATCTCTTGTTCTCATTGCTTCACTGTCACTCACTTTTAACTGATGTTTGCTATGAATGTGATAATGCCAGCAGGAGTAATCTTGGTTACTTGTTAATACCTTGCTCATAGTTCACAAATATATACTTAATCTGTCTATACTTTATACTGTACTGTACTCTTTTACAATTACAAAAATGGTGGTCATACTCTAAAAATATCAAAATAAAATGATTGCCATTAGTAATATGAAATACTGTATTCTCAGTAAGGGTTTGCATTAGGAATTCCCTTAACCTTCATAAATTGTAAGAGGCATATGCCACGATATGAAGTAATCAGATCTAACATGACTTTTGTTACTGCATTCACCATATTTTTTAGACTAAACATTTGTTTAAACCCCAAAGAGACACTATTGCCTTTTGATTGCATATGCAAATGGCTTGCACTTGCTGGTGTTACCACTTAAGTGCTGTACTTCAGAAAGCTGATTGATGCAGTGCAAGACCAATATAACTGCCAACTTGTTAATACACTATAGATTGCTTTAGAGGTTTAGCCAGTTTGTTGGGCACACAACACTCATTGGTTTTGTTGTTTGCAGTTTATATTACACAGTACATACTACACATTGTGAAAAAGAGCCGTTTCTTTTTGAGACGAGTCCAACATGTGGTGTGCCAGCAGGTGTTTGTCAACTGGCTTCTGATGTTGGGAGACACACAGTATAGAATATTTGCTCATCTGTCTATTTGGAAACACAGCATAGAGATTATTTTAAAAAAAATTGTTCTATTTTTTTTTATCTGATAAAAATTATTTAGTAAATTTTACCTATACTACATCTTAGTTTCTAGATGGACAGAATGCTGTATACATTATTAGTGACAAGAACAAAAAAAAAAAAAAAAATCTGTAGTTTTAGTTTTGGTTTCACATAAAAGCACCATAGAGGAACTTTATGTGACTATTTAGCAACTGGTTTGCCTGAACTACAAGTTCACACAGTCTACCTAGGATCTAACGTTGCAAATCAATACATTCTTTTAAGACACATTCACTGTGATTCAAAATTAATGTTCATTATGCAAAGTTAATAACCTTTTCTGTAATGGTAATGGATTTGTTTTCTTTCTTTAGGTATTTTTGTTACAGGCTAAGTAATTATGTTGAGGGGTATGATAGTGATATTTACCACAATGTGTTTTGGAAGAAAATGTACAATTATCATGTGTAATACACATTAATACAGTATTTTTATTAAAGTTTACTTATTGTTTTGTATTTAATCATTCATACTTGGAAGCAAGACAAAATATGGAGGGGAAACTGCAGTTATGACAAGCAGAGTTGTATACAGTAGGGCCCCACTTATAAGGCAGGTTAGGTTCCAGGCTACTGCTGGAAAGCAGAATACTACTTTTTTCCACTTATAAATGATATAAATACCAGAAAACAAGTTTACACTAACATATATTAAGTTAGCAAGAGAACTAGGCATTAAAAAACAATAAAAAGTAAAATACACACACAGTACATTCATTATTTACCCTAAAATATTCATAGTCTTAATGTAGGGTGAGAGATGAGTAGTATTTATTGTAAGAAGTCAGGTATGGTAGGTATGGCCACCCCACCCACACATGATATACATTTAAGCACCCTAGAGCAATAAAATGCATATACAGTACACTCATTACATACCTTAAAGTATCTGTAGTCTTAATGTAGGGTGAGAGATGAATAAACGAGATAAAATGAATAAACCAGAGAGAGAGAAAGAGAGAGAGAGAGAACAAGTAAATGAGAGAGGACAGAGACGCGGAGTATGTAAACAAGCAGACAAACATATCTGGTTATGGTTCATACACGTTCAGTTCCAAGTTTGTGAATCTTGTACCATAATACAAACACCTTACAGTGTGAACAAGTTGTCTCCATGTTGAAACGGTAGAATACATAAAGAGTAACACTCTCATTCTTATGTAACATACCATTTCTAGAAGGAATGATGCTCTGAGTAGTGGCATACGAAAGGAATAATTTTCTACAGTTGCCCCCAGTAATGCTATTGTGTACACATTTTTTGATGTTGAACTAGAGAAAATGGTTATTCTTTCCGACACTCCAATGACCGAAAAAACATCTCATATTTATATTAATTTATTCTATCGTGAGGTGTATTTATCATGTTTATATGTTATGCAGCATGTTTATTATATAATTTTGAAAAAATATCATAGATGCATTAATAAAAATGTCTATATTAACGTAATATACGACATTTAATGCACCTCAGAGTGATTATTATTAGCATTATTAATATGGCATCTTCAAGACTAATAAGACACACTTAGTGATTTTAATGTGTACTTGCATGCCAGTACAGTGTATAAATTTACTTAGGTATATGTAAGTATAATTATCAGTGTACAGTGGACCCCCGCCTAACGATATTATTTCAATCCAGAAGTCTGTTTGGGTGCCGTTATAGACCAAATTTGTCCCATAAGGAACATTGTGAATTAGATTAGTCCGTTTCAGACCTCCAAAAATACACCTACAAAAGCACTTACAAAAATACACCTACATAATTGGTCGAGTTGGGAGCTGATTGTTAGGTGGGGGTCCACTGTATATATAACCAATGAAATAACTTTAAAACACTTGAAATTTTGGAAAGTTTCCAGACATAATGGAGAGATGTGCTCACAGAGAATTGTAACAAACCAGGTGGCACATGGTGACCGTATTAGAAGTCAGGCAGGGGGAACTGTATAGCGAGTTTTGGTCATAATTTGAAATGTCTGTATTAGCAAAATGCTGTAAGGTGAAATGCCATAAAGCAGGGGCCCTACTGTATATCATTGTTAATGCTCTATTTGTGGAAAATACTGAACCACGCTGTCACTCGATGCCAGAGTAGTGAAGGCTAACAGTGTCTGTGTTTGGTGAGACAGCAATGATGCTTTTACAGCCACGTTGCACTTCTGCAGACAGTAAATTTAGTATGGAGACTTATGTATTGCTCTGGATGTACAGTTATTTTAATCTCCTTATATGTCACAGTACAGTGGAACCTCTACTTACGAGTTTAATCCGTTCCATGACCTTGCTCGCATCTGGATTTGCTCGTTTGCAGAGTCAGTTTTCCTCATTTAAATTAATTGAAATGGAATTAATTCGTTCCAGTGGAATTCCAGGCACAAGAAAATACTTCAATAATTTCCCTAATATCAACTCTATGGCTTATATATCTATCACAATTCATCTAACATGACATAATAAACAATATTAATAACATAGAAACATGATATATACACTAGAATGAATAAAATACATGTCATTACATATGTGGCTAGTGGTGGTGACAGTGGCCATTGCTGTTGTTGGGGTTTATAGGGTCACCACAGTGGCCATTCCTGCTCCTGACTACATGTGTAGAGAACCCAGGATAACCCAAAAAAGTCAGAGTGACTTATAAGTGCTACACTCTTAATGCTACACTTTCCCACTGCTACCCCATGATGTCTGCCACTGCTACCCCATGATGTCTGCCACTGCTGCTTCATGATATCTGTCACTGCTGCCTCATGTCTGCCACTGCTACTTCATGATGTCTGCCACTGCTGCTTCATGATGTCTACCACTGCTGCTTCATGATATCTGCCACTGCTGCCTCATGTCTGCCACTGCTGCTTCATGATGTCTGCCACTGCTGCTTCATGTTGTCTGCCACTGCTACCTCATGTTGTCTGCCACTGCTGCTTTATGATATCTGCCACTGCTGCTTCATGTTGTCTGCCACTGCTGCTTCATGTTGTCTGCCACTGCTGCTTCATGATGTCTGCCACTGCTGCTTTATGATATCTGCCACTGCTGCTTCATGTTGTCTGCCACTGCTGCTTCATGTTGTCTGCCACTGCTGCTTCATGATGTCTGCCACTGCTGCTTCATGATGTCTGCCACTGCTGCCTCATGTCTGCCACTGCTGCTTCATGATGTCTGCCACTGCTACCTCATGATGTCTGCCACTGCTGCTTCATGATGTCTCCCACTGCTGCTTCATGATATCTGCCACTGCTACTTCATGATGTCTGCCACTGCTGCTTCATGATGTCTGCCACTGCTGCTTCATGTTGTTTGCCACTGCTGCTTCATGATGTCTCCCACTGCTGCTTCATGATGTCTGCCACTGCTGCTTCATGATGTCTGCCACTGCTGCTTCATGATGTCTGCCACTGCTACTTCATGATGTCTGCCACTGCTGCTTCATGTTGTTTGCCACTGCTGCTTCATGTTGTCTGCTACTGCTACCTCATGATGTCTGCTACTGCTGCTTCATGTCTGCCACTGCTACCTCATGTTGTCTGCTACTGCTACCTCATGATGTCTGCTACTGCTGCTTCATGTTGTCTGCCACTGCTACCTCATGATGTCTGCCACTGCTGCTTTATGTTGTCTGCTACTGCTACCTCATGTTGTCTGCTCCCACTTTTGCTAGCGTGCTGAAGAGCTTTCCAGTATGTGAAGGTTCAAGGGCAGTGCCAATCCGACAGGAACTGGACAGTGATGTCATTTGTTTACTCTTGAACATTGCCAAAGAATCGAACATTTCTGCTACTTTGAGCTCAATTTCAAGGCACTTTTTGTCGTGAACCAATCAAAATCATATCTATATCTGTAGTATATCTTCCATTCTATCAAATGAGACCACTAAAAAGAGAACACAACCATAAAAACCATACAAAAATATACTGCTAAAGGGAGGCTAATGGCTGAGAAGTGAACTCCATTATTTATGGTCCTATTTCTTTCATTTTTGGTGTACTCTAAGAAGCATCTTTCCATCATACATTGCTTATGTTTCAATAAGATAGTCCAACAAACAACTGAGATCCAATTCCTTAGATCAAGAGCACCAACATCAAGGAACCTCCCTTGAGGCTCACTCGCATCTGGAAATTTCGCTCACATCTGGAAGCAAAAAATCGACTGAACAACTGCTTGTATATGGAAAAACTTGTATGTGGATGCACTCGTAAGTAGAGGTTCCACTGTATGTGCTCTCACTCTTACTGAATGGAGATAAAATAGAAAGGCATATATATAGAAAATTAAAACAATAAATTTTATGTTAAATGGCAATTACTGAAATATTATGGGTATACTACTGTTATACTGAAGCTTCAGTGTAGTAGATTAGTATAGCAGATCATGGAGATTTTATTTCAGCAATATGCTTGGTATCTTTTCCAGTTATTGCTCCAGGCTTGTAAAGTGATAATAAGAAATTTTATGTCTGAATAATTATGATCAACTTTTCAAAACTCCAGAACCACTTGGTTATTCAGCACTCTTAACATAAACAATGAATTCATTTATGCGGTATTTTTTTACTTTTATTATTAATGCTGTGAGGGTTCATGGAGATTTGATAGCTGGAGTTAAACACAAGTCGTTGGGTGTTAATGCTTATATTGCAGACTCTGATACGGGAGAGCCCAAACTGCCTGTCCTGTCACCTGCTAGGCCTACGGGGAATTGAGGCCGATGCAGCACATCCCACGCTCTCATGTGGTATCACGTGATGTCACACAAACTAGTAACTGGGCCTATCAAGGGGCCGTGTATGTAAAACACACGGATGGTACTAACTATGATATTCAGATAACATATACTGTACATATACAGGGGATCAGCAACTATGCTGACATTAACACACTGGCCATTTCCCACCTAGGCAAAGTGACCCGGAAAAGAAGAAACACTTTCAGCCTCACGCAATCCATCACTGTCTTGCCAGAGGCATGTTGACTCTACAGTTATAAAACTGCAACATTAACATCCCTCGTTCAGAGTGCAGACACTGTACTTCCCATCTCCAGGGCTCAAGTCTGGCTAACCAGTTTCCTTGAATACCTTCATAAATGTTACCTTGCTCACTCACCAACAGCATGTCAAGTCATAAAAACCATTTGTCTCCACTCTCTCCTATCTAACATGCTCATGCATGCTTGCTGAAAGTCTAAGCCCCTCACACACAGAGCCTCCTTTACCCCCTCCCTCCAACCCTTCCTAGGATGACCCCTACCCTACCTTTCTTCCACTATAGATTTATACACTCTAAGTCATTCTATTTTGTTCCATCCTCTCTAAATGTCTGAACCATCTCAACAACCCCTCCTTAGCCCTCTAGAAACCCCACACCTCCTAATCTCCAAGCTACAGATTCCTTGCATAATTCTCACACCACACATTTCCCTCAGA